TGTAAAAAAGTTTTAAAATTTTATAAAAATTTGAAATTTTGATTTTTAAAATGAAAACTTGAGTTTGAAGCAATGCTCGTTTTGACATGAAAATATCAAACCTTCACTTCAAAGCTAATAATAAATTAAGAAGCATTGGAAAATATTATATATAAATTGAATTATTTGTGAATAAAGTAATCAGTAAAAATATTCAAAATAGCATTTATGCTTTCAATTTGTTTGCATTTTCAGTATTCTTTGCTGTGCTTTTTGATTCATCAAAACGAAAAGTACGGAAAATTTGCTGAAATTTTTGGAAATTTCAGTACTTATAAATATTTAACCGAAAACAAATGTAGACTTTAATCAGTGGATTAAGCGAAAATTTATATTAAATGATAAAACTTGATAATTTTTAAACTTTTGCTTGCTAAAAAGTTACTTAAAAATTATTTTTGAAAATATATTTTACGCTCAAATTCACGTTAAATGGGATTTTTATAATTCTTAAATGTTATTTACAATAAGTAATAAGCGTGCAGCAGATTTATGCTGTTCTGTGTTCATTATATAATGTTTTGCGATATATCTCCGATTGCAAAAATTATAATTATGGATAAGTTTAGGTGAATAGAGTTAGAATAAAATATTTGTGAAAAGAAATAAATTTTGAGAGCATTTCAAGAAAGAATGATTTTGAAAATTGTATGTTATAATTGTAGACTTTTCCACAATTATTGCAGAAAAAAACAGTGAAAAGACACGCAATTACGTCAAATTCCTCATTAATCAGTATTGTGATGAAGTAAAAAAACACGCACTTACGTCAAATTCCTTATTAATCAGTATAGTGATGAAGAGAAAAAATTAGTTCCCTTCCAAGCATTAAAATGTAATTTATTTGATAAAAAGTACTGACATTTTAATTTTTTTTCAATCAGTTTCGCATCTTTCATTTACTTACTTTTGTTTCCGTTTAACTTTCATAATTGATAACATTTACTTCAAAGTTAAACAAAGATAAAATTAAGTAAATGTACTCGTAAATTATAAACCTAATAATTTATAAATTTAGCAGAATCATCTAGGCACATTAGCATCTGATGCTATATATAACACGTATTATGACGTATATCACGTGTACAATTAGGCAATTTAGCTTTAGAAAAGTGATCATTTTTTGTAACGATAATAATGAAAGTTCTTTTCATCTCAACAACTAACAAGTTAATTTATTCAGAATTTTGAGTAATTACGTTTCGAAAAAGTTTCCGAAATTGACATTTACCACGATTTTATTGATTAACTGTGAATTTAAAAAATAAAAAATTTACAATGCGAAATAATGCCTAAATAATGATAGAAAAAAGATTTTCACTGAGTTTATAGTTAATTTATTTTAGATATTTGAAATTAAAACTTCTCTGAAATGAAAAAAAACAAACAATAATTCAAAAATTTCTTCATTTTATTTTCAGAAATCCAAACAAGCTATACTAAGTATAAAAAAGTTCCCACCAATATCAAATTTCTACTATTTTTTGTGCAATTAACTCCTTACTTCTGCAATTTATATCTTCACAAAAGCATTTTTTGTTTCAAACTGAATATGTCTGATGCTTAAATATAGTCGAAATTCAAAAAATATGCTGAGATTTAAAATTTTCAATAACATCACATGCGAATTAACATTTACCTTTTATATTTTAGTATAACAAAAGGCTAAAATTATAATAATAGCCTTGAAATATTGTAAAAATATTCAAGGAAGTTATAAAAGTAATATGCAAAATTTTAGCGCCAATATAAGAATATATTAGTTAGAAATATCAACAAGCTCACATGTTATGCATGATAGATGGATATATCAAGTCAATATACTTTAAATATTACTCTTGAAAACATTCAGCACTGAGCTGTGTTCGGTGGCAAAATGAAGTGAACTTTGATAATGAGATTTTTCAAGCCTTATTTGGCTAGCAAATGTCTAAGTTCACAAACTAACAAAAAAAACTCGAAAAATAAAAATACAAACTGGAATAATTCATGAAATGGCTGACATCATTTGAATTTCCACTAACGAATGAAAGATTCTAAGTAATTCTAATGCGTTGTGAACTTTCAGCAAAACAGCCATTACATTTTTGCCTTAGCATTAGTTCATAATTTTCAACTTGAAAAGTAATTTTAAATTCATGCAAATTTAGCTTCAATCAAATTCTGCTATTTTTTAGAATTCAAAAATGTCTTACAGCTTTCCTGCAAAAAAGAATTTTATATTTTATCTTTATCATATGTAATCGGTCAGTTGGTCTTATCTTTGATCAGTTGATCAAATCAATAGTACTCAATAATTTAACTTCACTACAACAGCAGTCTCGTAAAGTTGAACACAGATCAACTCAAAACTAAATTAGATACTCAAGTTGTTCAGAGATTTAAAAATTGAATGAAAAATGCCATATTCCTGAGCCAAAAATGTAAAGTTCAGATAAAGCTTATTTTAAAAACATACAAAAAAAGCAAATTCTGGTCGAGCAGTAAAATTATCGAAAAAATCTTAAATTTTTAATTGATTTTTTGCGAAAAAAATGTTTTAACTTTTTCTAAAATTACTTTTTCAAATGGTTGAAAAAGTGCAATAATACTAAGTTTAGTTTTCATTAGATAAAAAA